AGAAGAAGAAGAAGGAGAAGAAGAAGAAGAAGAAGAAGAAGAAGAAGAAGAAGAAGAAGAAGAAGAAGAAGAAGAAGAAGAAGAAGAAGAAGAGACAGAATAAATTATTTACAATTTTTTAATTTATCGATCGACTGTATTGTATCCCCCTACACTAAGTTTCTTTATAAAATAATATTTATATCGTGGGATATATATTCATTCACTGTATAATCAAAGAAAATGGTGATTTCCTGTGCTAAATTAAAATTACAAAAGCCTTCAAGCGATAATTTATGAGAAACTGTTTTTTGTCGCACTGGAGACTTTTTAATATTTTAACGTTTTGACGTCACAGAGGGTCTCCAGGTCAGAAATGGTTTCAGTAATGAAAAGGGAATCTATCTCAGGCAAACGTTATATGCAGATATGTTTTTGAATAGTATCAATCCATGTTCTCAGTCATGACCATACAAATATAACATTATTATTATCATTTTGAATAAACGTGGTTTTACTAAGACATTCTTCTATTTTAATATCTTACTTATATTTATTTTGATTTAACAGATCGATCTTAATTTCTCATCCTGAAGAATCAATTTTGTCTGAAGAAAACGTTACAATTACATACTCTTCTGCATCCCTTATTGTGGTGGTTACGATTTTTTCGCTTAAAGTGGAAATTTGAAATATTTTATACAGGATAACAATATAAGAATCATAAGAATGTCTCTTTGAAATATACGCCTTTCACCCAAACTCATGTTTAGTCTGAGCATCGCGAAAAAGATTGATTTTTGTTTTATTATGATTGATTTTCGCTTTATTATGGTGATTGACGTTACTATCAGTGTTATATGATCAGTATCGGGGGAAAATAATGCATATTCATTCAACATCAAATTAGCTTTGCTGTTTCAGTTTCAAGACTAGACTAGACCTGCCAAATTGCATATGGAGTTGTGATGTTCAGGTGTTAAACATCACAGAGGGGCTACAGGTCAGAAATGGTTTTAGTAATGAAAAGTGAGTCTATCTGAGGCAAAAGTTATAAATGTTTTAGCATATATGATTTTGAATATTATCATTCCTCGTGTTCTCAGCCATGACTAGAAAAATACATTATTATTATTATTATTATTATCATTACTATTATTATTATTATTATTATTATTTAAATTAAACGTGGTTTTTCTAAGAANGCATCTTGACTAAGTTCTTTATCTTTCCAACGCGATGAGAGAAATCGACCATGCCATTTCTCTGCGTTTATCGTTTCCTGTAGCTTGTCTACCAGTGCTCTCTTCAAGTGTTCTTTAATTTTCGTTCCYTCAATTTCTACTTCTGGTTTTCTGGTCGAAGTAAATGATGGATTTGGGTACTTTAGAAATAACTTTATCTTCAGCTCCTCTGCATATTTGTGTGCATCAGTTAGTACTGACGAATATTATTATTATTATCATTACTATTATTATTATTATTATTATTATTTAAATTAAACGTGGTTTTTCTAAGAAATTCTATTTTCTTATCTATAGCGAGGGTTTAAATACGAAAGCAGAATAACCAGTCTAGTTTCAGTCAAGAAACCATACTCTTCCTATAACTCTTAAATGTCATGAAATGTCATTTGCATCCTGCGTATGATTTATTTGAATCCCTTTAATTCCGCAAGGTGGATCCAAAATAATTCAGAGCGAATTTCGTATGCTTCAAACTGAATTTTGGATCGAATTTTCAAGCGGCGTCATAAATATTTTTTCTACCCTAGACTTTCCATTCACATTTACACAAAGGCTGCATTAGTACTAGATAACATTCTGAAAATTTCAGAAAAATCGTATATGAGGATAAGGAGAAAATAGCCAAAAACTAAAAACTTTTATAATCTTAAAATAAAATACACTGTTAGAATCTAGGATAATCAGAGCACATTGTATAAGAAATTCGGTTATATTGACACACTATAGTTTTGCGAAGCGAGCGAGAATAAAATTGACCAAAATTCGCTCTAAATTAGATTGGATCCACCTTAAGTTGGGTTAACTTGAACTGAGTTACATGGTTAATTTACCGCGTATCATATGATGTGTATCTGAAGAAAACCGCATAGTTCTGGGGTTGCTTACTATTTACACCAATCCATCTTGTTGGAAATTGGAAATTTTCAATCAGAATGACGAATATCATTTGTTTTTCATCCTGACATGATTTCCAGGTTTCGGGGTAAATGGTAAGCACCACTGATTCGGAAACATACCAAATGTGCAGAGTCCGCTTTGCTTTGCTCCGTGATGAAATAATCATGGAGTGAAAGTGGCTTTATATATAAAACGACAAAGTCAAAGAAACAAATACTGCGCCAGAGCGTCATTCATATTGAAAAGTAAATACGTTACCATAACCTTACCATTGACATTAATAAATCCACTCAGCTGGTTCTTATTAATTTCATATGTAGCTCGATTATGGAAACTGCGTCGTCCAATACAAAAACTGTTAACACTTATAAAGCTATAAGCTAAGGCGGTGACTACTACTGTTTGTTCGATGTTCGCAATGATAGGTAAAAAAAATAGGCGCTCTAGTAGCGCACGCTTCTACTGCAAGGCGCAGAGACTGATATATGATAGACATTGGGACGTTTATAGAGAAAGGAGAAAGATTCAGGGATTTTGTTATTGGTATTTGGATAAAATGCGAAAATCCTGGGCTGGGTTGTACGAAGGGTGGATAGCGCTATCCGACGGATAAATGTTATCCAGTGGATAAATTTATTGGATAACAGCATCGACTTATCCACTGGATAAGGATTTATCCGCCTGATAGCGCTATCCGCACTCTTGGTACAACCGGGCCCTGAAGTTTAAATGAAAAAAAATGCTGCGGAATATTGAATCTTGGTTATTTGTGTGGAGACATACTTTTTAACTGCTGCGAGTCATAGCAAGCAGCATCACTAATCTTGACGGTTGGGATCCCTGCGTTATAGATGCCAGTCTTCAATTTAGCACTGCGGATGATTTTCAAAGCATACAGTACGAATGTTCAGCGGCGTTGTTTTGCCTGTTCATAGCAGGTTTGAAAGACAATATTTGAACAATTATTCACGTTTCTGCATGCTCACCGGTACCGTCCCGACTCCGACGCAAAGGCACGGCTACCTTTCAAGATGGCGCAGGGAACTGTGAAAGGGACTATTCCCTCATCAGTCAATAAAGCTTACTATAATATTTACCAAGACGTACGCGTAGTCGAAGTAAGTATTTATTATATTCACTGAGCCTGAGGTGAATAATTGTTTTCATATAATTTTAGACTTGAAAATCCGAGACCTTAAAGTGAAACTCTTCAGGATTGACAATTGACAAAATAATAATAATAATAATAATAATAATAATAATTTTTTAAAATAAACTTTATTGACAATAATAATTCTTCAAGATACAATCAGTGATAATAATAATACTTCTACATTAATTTCTCACAAAGAAAAAAAATTTATCATATGACCCGTACGGCCCTGCTCGCGCGCTCTAATAAAACCATTGGAAAAAGTCACGTGATGGGGCCGGACGGGTTGACGTAAGCGGGCCGGAAAAACCCGTCCGGCCCTGCTCGAATCCGCGCGCTTTCTTTTTCTTA